CATATAACCCAGTTTCTCAGATTATTTGCTCAGCATACAGGTTGAATAAGTATGGTGAAAGAATACAACCCTGTCACACACCTTTCTTAATTTTACACCATTCAGTGTTCCTGTGTTCTGTTCGAACAACTGCCTCTTGGTCCATGTACAGATTCCTCATGAGCACAATTAAGTATTTAGGAATATTCATACTTTGCAATATTGTCCATAGCATGTCATGATCCATACAATCGAAAGCCTTTGCGTAGTCAATAAAGCACAGGTAAACATCTTTCTGGTAATCTCTGCTTTCAGCTAAGATCCATCGGACATCAGCAGTGATATCCCTGGTTCCATGTCCTCTTGAATCCAGCTTGAACCTCTGGAAGTTCTCTGTCAATGTATGCTTGCAGCCGTTCTGTATTACCTGTAAAACTTTACTCGCATGGGATATCGAAGATATTGTCCTATGATTTCCACATTCCGTTCGGTCACCTCTCTTTGGAATGGGCACAAATACAGACCTCTTCCAATCAGTCGGCCAGATAGTTGTCTTCCAGATTTCTTGGCAGAGATAAGTGAGTGCCTCCTGTGCTGCCTCACTTTCTTGAAAGATTTCAATTTTTATTCCATTAATTCCTGGTGCCTTGTTCTTTGCCAGTTTCTTCAATTCATCTTGGACTTCTTCTTTCAGTATCATTGGGTCTTGATCATATGCTACCTCTTGAAACGGTTGAACATCAACCATTTCCTTTTGGTACAATGACTTTGTGTATTCCTTCCTTCTTCTCTTTTTTTTTTTTTTTTTAATTAAATGTTTTTATTTTGGATTGAGTGAAAGTTTACAGGGCACATCATCAGCTTCACATTCAACCATTCATATAGCTTGTTTCATTACATTGATTATTAATGAATCAATATATCATCATTATATCATATATCATCAGTTAACAGTGTTTCTCTCTATCCTCTTTAGCTTTTTTGGGGGGGGATGGGGGCCTTCTTCTTTTGATGCTTTCTGCGTCTTTCAATAATTTGCCCAGAGACTCCTTCAATAACGAAAGTCTGAGGTGTGAATTTTTTCATCAGTTCCCCCAGCTTGAGAAATGCTAAGCGTGTTCTTCCTTTTTGGTTTTCTGACTCCAGATCTTTGCACATTTTGTTGTAATATTTGACTTTATCTTCTCGAGCTGATCTTCGAAATTTTCTGTTCAGCTCTTGTACCTCCCCATTTCTTCCATTTGCTTTAGCATCTCTACGCTGGAGAACAAGTGTCAGTGTCATGTCTAACATCCATCTTGATCTTTTCCTTCTTTCTTGTCTTCTTTATGACTATTTGCTTTCTTCCTGTATGATGTTCTTGATGTCATCCCACAACTCTTCTGGTCTTCAGTCTTTAATGTCTAATGTATTAAATGTGTTCTCTAGATAATCTCTCAGTTCAGGTGGGATATGTTCAAGATCATATTTTGACTTTTGTGGACTTGTTTTCATTTTCTTCAGCTTGAGTCTGAATTTGCACATGAGCACTCGTCTGTCAGTTTGTCTTACTATGGTGGCTTGTGAGTTGCTGTGATTCTGGAAGCTATGACACAGATATTTTAAATACCATCAGCGTCACCCACAGTGGGCAGATTTAAGATGAGATTCCAGATAAAGACAGACTAGGAAGAAGGAAGATGAACTACTTATGAAGAGCAGAGAAACATTGTCAGGTATCATGCGGGAAAATGAGCCCCTCAGGTTGGAAGGCACTCAAAATGCGACTGGAGAAGATCTGCCTCCTCGGAGTAGAGTTGACTGTGATGACACCAAAGGAGTAAAGCCCATGGGAGTAGAGCCCTTGGAACCTTCATTTGCTGATGGGGCACAACTCAAAATGAAGAGAAATAGCTGTAAACATACATTAGTAATTGGAACATGGAATGTACAAAGTATGAATCTAGGAAAATTGGAAATTGTAAAAAATGAAATGGAATGCATAAACATCGGATATGCATTAGTGAACTGAAATGTACTGGTATTGGCCATTTTGAATCTGACAACCACATGGTTTACCACGCCAGCAATGACAAATTGAAGAGGAGTGGTGTTGCATTCATTATCAAAAAGAACATATCCAGATCAGCCATGAGGTACAATGCTGTCTGTGATAGTATAGTATACATGCGTCTACAGGGAAGAACAGTTAATACCATTATTATTCAAATTTATGCACCAACCACCTAAGCCAGTGATGATGAAATAGAAGAATCCTACCAACTTCTTCAATCTGAAATTGATCAAACATGCAGTCAAGATGTATTGATCATTACTGGTGATTGGAATTCAAAGGTTGGAAACAAAGAGGAAGGATCAGTAGGAAAATATGGCCTTGGTGATAGAAATGATGCTGGAGATTGCATGATAGAATTCTATAAAACCAATGATTTGTTCACTTCAAATACCTTCTTTAGACAGCATAAGAGACGATTATACACGTGGACCTCACCAGATGAAATACATAGAAATCAAATTGACTACATCTGTGGAAAGAGACAGTGGAAAAGCTCCATATCATCAGCCAAAACGAGGCTAAGGGCAGATTGTGGAACAGAATAGTGTGTATAATATCCTATTTGTATAAAGAAAAAGAAAGATGTGTGTGTATATGTATGCATGTACACAATTCTATAACATCTTATATGTAGTTCTCTTGTGGCACTGTGGGTTAATGTGCTGGAATGTAAGCTTGGTTTGAACTTTAGGGTCAATGTTTCAAACTCAGCAGATATTCCTCAGAAACCCTACACAGGGTCGTTCTGAGTCAGAATTAACTCGACAGCATTTAACAACAACAAAAACATCATTTTATATAAAATCCCTGGGACCAGTTATATTTTCAAGTCAAACTTATTTTGTAATTTAGGTAGTGTTTTGGAATTCAAATTTTCTTAAGGAGTAACAAATCCAGTAGCACTTGGTGGGTTTGAACCACCAACCTTGTGCTTAGCAGTCCAGTGCTTATCCTACAGTACCATGCACACTTAAAAACACTAGTGGATCTAGAAGGGCTTTTTAAGAAAAGAAGAACTCAGTCAAATGTTGATAGCTGGGTAGCATTAGAATGTCCAGGTTATACCCAAGTGGCATTAGAAGGGCATTAGTGTGAGGGAGCTTCAAAAAGTATGTGGGAAAATCCCATTATCTTTCATTCTATTTGTCCATGAAAATTTAAAATCCTTCTCAGCCAAGGTATGGAGATGGGTGGGAGAAAGCACAGTGGTTTCAGAAAACAACCAGGAGTATCAATTGAGAGAGGAGTTAAGGTGGTGAGCAGTGAGGAGTTTTAACTAAGGTGAAGTCAAGTAATGGAAGTGCTTAAAAACAGGTTCTGATTAGGGGATCAATATGATGAAAGTCATGTTTCAGAAGATGAATCTGGTTGGACCACCCACCCTTCAACTAGCAGTTGAGTGCTTTATCCATGTGGCACCAGGGCTCTGTCTTAAGACAGATATCATGATTCATTTAAGAGTTTTTACCTCAGAGTTTTATTTTTCTATTTACTACGGTATGTTTTTCAATACTCGTAAGTCAGGCACCTAAGAAATCAGTATAATTAGGGAAACTGTTATAATATTCATCTTCAAGTTCATCAGTATATTTTATTATAAATTATCATGTATTCAGAGGAGAAAATTCCATTTTAAAAGTATGTAATTAGAACAAATGACTTTATGTATCATTTTTTTAAGGTTACAGTCTTCTTCATCCTTTGGTGACTCAAGTCCAATAGATCTAATAAAAGATGCTACCATGGTAAACTACAAGAATGTAAGTATGCTTGTAAGTAATAATACTCATGAAATAAATAAGCAATAAAAGTAATAGCAGATTGTTTCTTCTGGACAAAGAATCCATCCCATGAAACAATAAATGAATTCATTCCACCCAGATGGTGACATTTAAGAGACAATTTCATCCTCACTGGCTTTAGTGGTTGATGTGTAAATTTGAATAATAGTGGTATTAACTGGTCTTCTTTATAGGCATATGCATATTGTTCTATCACAGGCAGCATTGAACAGATCTTAATATGTTCTTTTTGATGATAAATGCAGTGCCATTCCTCTTCAATTTGTCATTCCCAGCATAGTAAACCATGTGATTGTCAGAATCAAAATGGATAACACCAGTTCATTTCAGATCACTAATGCCTAAGATGTCAATGTTTATGTGTTCCATTTAATGTTTTACCATTTCCAGTTTTCCTAAATTCATACTTTGTATATTTCATGCTCCAATTAGTAATGGATGTTTACAGCTGTTTCTCTTCATTTTGAGTTGTGCCCCATCAGCAAATGAAGGTCATGAAGCCTTTATTCTTGCCATCACAATCTACTCTACTTTGAGGAGACAGCTCTTCCCCAGTGGTATTTTGAGTTTCTTGCAAAATATAAAGGGCTCATCGTCTGGCACTGTACCTGACAATATTCTGATGCTCATCATCATGTTTCAATATTCAGTATTCTGGTGCTGATAGTGTTCTGCTATTCATAAGGTTTTCAGTGACTAAATATTCAGAAGTAGTCTGTCTCTTCTTCTTCCTCGTCTATTTTCATCTGGAAGCTTAGCTAAAACCTGTCCAATGTGGGAGACCCTACTGGTATTTATTTTTATTATTATTTTTTTTTTTTTGGAAGTAAAATAGTTCATTTATTGGCCAACCAAACCAAACACTCTGGGAGTATTATTGACAGGGTTTTTTTTTTTAATTAAATGTTTTTATTTTGCATTGAGTGAAAGTTTACAGGGCAC